CCCTCTCGCCTCCTGCGAGCCCTCCCGCGAGCCTTCCCGCTGCTCGCGCCTCCCTCGAGACCTCCCGCTGCTCGCGCCTTCCGCTCCCTTTCCCTTTCCCGCTGCCGCTACCGCCGCTCGCCGCTGCCGCCGCTGCTGCCGCCACTGTTGCCGCCGCTCGTCGCTGCTTCCTCGTTTCTCCGTCAGCAGATTTATACTGTTAATGTGATTATATTTATTAATTATATTATATATTTTTATATTTTTATTTAAAATTTTAAATAATTATATTTATTAATTATATTTTATATTTTTATATTTTAGAGCCTCGCTTCGCTCGGGCGAGCGCCTAGCGCCTCGGGCGTTTTTGGACCTTGGCGCCTTTTGGCGCCTAGCGCTTTTTAAATCACTGTTCTCAAACATGCCCAATTCCAATTCGGAATTGAGTTGGACTCAAATCGATCGAGTGTGATTCGAGAAATTATATATCGGTCGATGTGTGGCCAGAAGTGACCACATTTAGAACTAATAAGTTATATATTCAAGTTTTAAATTTCTAATGCTTGTTAGGGCTCAATTTTTCAGCTAAAAAAAAAGTTGCTTTCAAGAGTTCTCGTAATGAAACATTTGAAGTTGAAATAAATATAACGTTTTTATTCCTTTTTCAAATTCCTGCAACCATTTATCATATTCATTCTTTTACCAAAATTTGTGCTTCATGTGGGTAAATTATTTAGTTCTAGACTCCTAATGCTTGTTAGGGCACAAGTTTCAGCTAAAACAATTAAGTTGCTTTCAAGAGTTCTCATACTGAATTTTTTTTGTTAATTATATTGAATTGGCTTGTTAGAGAATAGATAATGCCATTGTTTGCAAAACAAAAAATAACCTGAAGATTGTATCTTATTATTTTCATTTCTATAATGAAGAGTGGAATTTTGTAGTCAGCGTCATCAGTTAAAAAATTGAGTTCTGCACAGTATAGTTGCTTGTATGTATCCAATGAATTAGTAGGACATGGGGAACTTCTCACGCAAGTATTCAATTAGTTCAGACTTTTGCTTAGTATTGAATTGGGATCAAGAGCAAAAAGGTTCTCCGGAAGAGGTTCACGCTTCCTTTGTTGAGGTAAGAACAAATGATCTGATTCGAGATTTCATAAGAATTGAGTTAGTCAAGTCCACTATTTCGTATACCGGAAAAAGATATGATAGGGCAAGTTCCGGATTGTTTTCCAACAATGGATTAGATCACACAAATAACATTGGGTGGCATGCCTATCCTGAGATATATCATGAGCCAAGATGTTATACAAGATTTAGCGAAACTTGTTTGGTGGATCATTTGCAATCATAGTGCCTGCTAGTCTGGTTTGTCGACTTTTAATATTTTGTGAAATATCAGCTGCATTGCTTCTCTGTATGGTCCCTTACAGACTCAATAGGCTTTACATTTTGAAACAGCATAACTTAATCTTTGATGTGATCTACATATATGCTGATGAAAATTCAGTTTTCTAGATGAGTAGTCTTAATTACCTATGTTCTTCGGTATTTCTTGATTACTCCCGTTTTGCAGCATTGTTGAACTTGCATGTGGTACTCTCAAATAGTCTGCATTTATGTATTCAGGTCCGCTCGACTGGAACTGTGGACCAGATCACCCGGCAACCAATAGGAGGAAGGAAACGAGGTGGAGGTATTCGTTTTGGAGAAATGGAACGAGATGCTGTTCTTGCTCATGGAGCTGCCTACCTCTTACACGATAGGCTTCATTCATGCTCCGACTACCACATAGCAGATGTATGCTCCTACTGCGGAAGTGTACTGACGGCCACTGCAATACAACCTCAGAAGAGAGCAGTGCGTGAAATCCATGGTCTGCCGCCGGCAAGAACTCCCAAGAACTATATATGCCAATCTTGCAAAACAGGCAAAGGGATGGAGACTGTGGCAATGCCTTATGTCTTCAAGTATTTGGCAGCAGAGTTAGCAGCAATGAACATAAAAATGGAGCTCCAATTGAGTAACCAAGCAGGTTCATGTACATAAGGATTGTGGTTAAAGTTCCCAACAATTTTCCCATGGAACCACTTCAAGCTGGGGTTCTTTGACGCACTGTAAGATTCCAGACATTGACACTACCTGATTTAACAATGCAGATGAGAATTGAAGTGCAAGTGGAGTTTGCTTTTGCTCGGGATGAGCAATTAAGCTTAAGTAGTGATACTAGGAAGAGCATAACAATCAAAGTCACATAGTTGAGATCATTAGTGCCCTGTGCCATTTTGATTCTTGTAACTTTTTTGTAGTTTTGCTTTGAGGAGGTGAAACTATAGGATGAAAAACGACTCTTGTGGTTGACATTATGCTGACAGTAATTATGTGTACATTATGCTGAAGTTGACATTAGCTACATAATGTGGTGGACCGCTAAACAAATAAACCTTGTGAGTTATGGTAAATCCATTTGTAATCTTGTTATTTTGAATCTAATTTAGAGATATCCTGACAGTAATTATCTTCCAGGATGTGAACTTGGCATCTCTGTCGCTAGATATCGAAATATCTAGTAAATTTCTTGAACTAGTGGAAATTTAAGATCAAAGATTCAGTAAGTACAAATCCCAGAGTTCCAGTGCAAAATATGTGATGATGTTTAGAACCATGATCGGCAAATCCCTTCTTGAACTAGTGGAATTTTAAATTTTATTTTTAGAACCTTAAAGTCTCTTGGGAGCATTCATGCCACTAGTCGATAGGTGATGTTATAAGACGTAATGACCTTCCAAAATGGTATATATATATATATATCATTGAAATTATAGTGAGCTTTCTCGAAACACACTTTGAGATGAATCAAATGACATGACTTCCCAATCTTGTGATGTGATGTGTCAGAATGTTCCACATGATGCATGACAACTTCCCAATCTTGCCAACGTCTGACTTAACCGGTGGTCAAAGCCATCAAGTCTTCCAGTCTCGGGGAAGTGTGGATTCGGGTGAGAATCCACACGGAGAGCGTACAACTCACAGAAGCTTCGGTGTCAACGACCGGATGTGCAGATTGGCCGCACAACATCCGAAAGAGGTCAGGAAGAACTTTTCATGTGTAAACTGTGACCATTAATTAACATACGATGGATTCAGCTCCTCACCAGCGCACAACAATCACTTTCGCACGTCACTATCTATCACCTGTCGCTTTGGATTGCAAGTTTGGAAGTAACACTTGCCTTCCCATGTGAACGTTCGAAGGACTTCGATCCTTCTACAGGACATGCTCATGCGAATGGTTGTTTCGATCTCGCTGGAGCAATCATGTGGTCTGAGATTGAAACAAGAGCTTTTAATGTCGCCTTTCTTCGTATAATAGGGTAAAAAAGATCTTCATTTTGTGGTTTGTGATTTCTTTCCCCACCGTCTGCCATTTTTTTCATGAGCATAACAAGATCGATATATAGATCGCAAACAAGAAACTTTACAGTAACAATAAGCTCTTTTATACAATTGATGCTAAGTACCCAATAATGAGACAAAACATAATTTTGCCACTTTTTGATGTGTTTTCTACATTGATGTAAAATGAAATAACACATACTAATAATCATGCCACCATCTCATTTGACATGTGTAATTTGTTCATCTTCAACACGATAGAACATGAAAAGGGAAAGAGTACAGGCTTGATACGATAAAAAGAACATGTTATTTCCCATGAGCGTGAAGGAGAATTCCTTGGTTTCTCACCAACATTTATTTCACTTTCCATGGCTTTTTAGTTGGACACCATGCTTTCGCTCTCCTTCACAAATCCATCCCCTGTCCACTCTTTATCCGATTGCAAACCCTTCCTCACGGCTTTCCTCTGCCTAATCGCCTGCTGCTGCCGCTTCACCAAATCGGTGTGGGTGGTGAAGTACTGAAGCGAGACACTGAAATAAAGAGAGAACTGCAAGTAAGAACTTCATAGTACAGAAATGTGGTAAGGATTCATGAAGGTTGGTTCAAAGTCACGAAAAGTATACAGTATAATGATTCGATTTTGATCTCATCTTTACATCAGGTAAACATTATATACGATGTGCATATCAATATCCCTATACGATATATGAGTGGAGTGCACATGGATATCTTCTATCCCTGAACAAATGTGAAACTGTAATAGTTTCCAGAGCAAAAACATATACAATGTGCATATCGATATCCTTATACAATATATGAGTGCACATAGATATCTTCTATCCCTGAACAAGTGTGCAACTGAATAGTTGCCAGAGCAAAAATTTGGATATCCTCTATCGCTAAATAATGTAGATTATAGACTATTTGTCCTTCTCAAGGGTCAAGCTTTGCAAAGACCAGATTCTGAGAGGGACATATGCAATTTTGTCACATATAAATGTGTTACCTTATAAAAGAATCAAAACATTGAAATGATACAATAATCCGATTAAATCTGATATAAATCAATGTCACATTAAATGTTATAATTATAGATGAAATTTCAAGAACTTTGTACTTTTTTGATATGGTTAGTCTTGTTTGAAGACTCCACTAAAACAAATCAAGAAACTTTGTACTTGTATGCATTCATTAAAAATTTATGAATCTTAAATATCTTTTATTCCTCCTAATATCGTGTCACTTCTAATAAAAGAAAACAGATCATACCCCCTGAAATCTTCTATGGATGAGAAGTTGTGTTTCCTCATAAAATCCTTCAGCTCAGCACAAAGCTTGTTGACAAGACCATAGCCATGCATCATTACACCTGTGCATACCTATGATGAAAAGAACAGAACGGTTAGCAAGCCATCAGCATGCAGGTAATGTAAAGCAGAACACTAAAATAGGAAGCTGAAATGACAGCTTCCATCGAAGGATGAGTTAGTCCTGTACTGATTGAACAGACAGCTAGCAAATTCAAATGGTATTGTCATCCATACATGCTTTAATTTTTTCCACAGCTTCCTAAATAAGTTTCACACAACCTATTCTAAGGCCGTCAATGGTGAACGATGTCCCAATAGTAAATAGATTAAGTTCATATGTGAAATCCATACAAGATCATTTAAAATTGAAGTGTATGGTTTTCAATATAAAGCCTACATAACTAAATTGTAAAACTGGGTTCCTGCATCGTCTAAAGTTCCGCAACTTTGATAAATATTATTTTAATCTTCTTTCCATGAATGATCCAATATTGAAGCATCCAGTGTTTATTGAACATAAAGAGGAAGGCATTGAAATAACCTACAAAAAAATAGGGAAGTCAAAGTAGATAAAGGTCAAGAATCATTTAGTATATACAGCCTTGTATTTCTATCTCTAAAAGAAAAGATGTTTCTTGTTAATTAGAATTTAAAGCTACAGGAAGCACATAGCTTCTCACATATTAGGACCAATATTTGCATAGACCAAAGAAAAGTGTCCTCAAGGGACTCATTTCAAGGATGCTGCTTAGCAGCAATAAAATGAAGATATACAGGGGTATACATCCAACTACAAAAAGAGAAAACATCGTGCGAGATCTTAAGTCTAAATAGAACCTTATTGAGCTATTCAAATTAACTTGTGGGCAAATGAAGTAAGTTAATGGCATACACAACAAAATATTTCTTTAAATGCTAACCTGAACAGTATTTGCTCCAAGAAGAATAAATTCAGCAGCATCACCACCGGTCTCAACTCCTCCGATCCCAGAAAGTGAACAATCTGTATTACCAAACTCTGTTGTCATCATTTTTGCAATCTGCACAACTTTTCCAAGTGCAATAGGATGGACAGCCCTTGCAGAGTAGCCACCAGGCGTGGAGTAACTGTACAGAGCAAAAGGAAAGAGACAAAGAAAAAGAAAATATGAAGCTATTAATAACATCAAGTGAGGCTCTGATTTGTCCAGTTAAGTAGCTATTAACTAACCCCTCGACACAGGGTTCAGGACGTAATGTATTGAGATCAATCCCCATCACGCTCATTATTGTGTTAATTGCAGAAACACCTTCGCATCCTGATTTCAAAGCCACCCTAGCTGGCTGCAGAAGGTAACATACAAGTTGTTGAGATTACTAGGCCAAAAAAGTAAATATATAGTAACTTTTGTCAATTTGGAGAAACATCTGAACCATTTAAACAGGAATTCACAAAAGCAACTTTCAGACGAAAGTACGCTTCCAGAGATCATAGTAGCACAACAAATATACCTTTCACAGTTATAGCTCATGGACTAGCTAGAACAAAGCTGACACACTGAAGACCTTGTTTAATTTTCCTTATGTTACAGCAGCAAGAACCAAGCTGACACATCAAAGATATTTTTTTAATCTTATATCTTCATTATGTGTGCTTACCTTTTCCTGAATAAAAAATTTCATGTGCATGTTCCAAGTGAAAGAAAATCTATTTTACTGCCATATATATTTGGCAAGCTTTCAGAGCTTAATATTTCTAGCAAATTCAAAGGAGATCCTATTCAGTTTTTGATTTTTTGACAACTTTTTAGAACTTCATAAGTTGTAACTTTTAAGATCAATTACGTAAGATTCCTTCACTTGTGTATGCCCAAATATTAGCAAATTCATCTTGCTAGTCATACCACTCACATAAACAGAAATTTTTAAGGTTAGTAATAGATAACACAAAGCCCAAAGGAAGCACTTTTGGAAAAGGTGAACTTTGTGCATACCATAAAAGCAATGGAAAAAGGAAGAAAAAATCTAGGATCAGAAAATTCTTATTTTTTCGAACCTGTTACACGAAAGAAATAAAGATGGCTTAGCCTTCTGACATTTGAACTCACTATTTCATTTAAACTGGGAACATGTACCCAAGATCATAGGCTGCTGCAACAATTGGAGGAATTAAACGCATTTTTGTCTTTGATTTTTTCTTTAACTTCACGTTAGATGACACTGGAACATTAATATCTAAACTATGGTCTATAGTTAACAGTTTAATTTGATTAGATGGATAAGTATGAGATGGCACTGTAAGTCATATGCAAATCCATAAGCGAGAGGCATTGGATGAATCAAATATGTTGTTAGTTTGATTTGACAATTTGGATGAACATCAGATGACACAATTATATTCATGAATATCTAGGATAGCCAGGACTGAGAGACATTGGGTGATTTAACAAAATCAGTTGCTATTTAGACATCCATACTCTCACAATATATCCTGCTTCAAAGTTCTGTCAAGTGATGACATGGTTTCAGAACAAACTTCAAATAGCTTTATGAAATACAGCATGCAGATACTAACAAAGTACTAACAACAGCATGGTCCTTGTTGTGAACTATTTTCCAATCATAAACTAACCAAAAAGTTGACATTCAATAAATAAAATATACCTTTAAACAAATGCAAAACCCTGCATGAAATAAAATATTAGATTAATCTACACCAAATATCCTATTAAGAAGCATCATTAATATTGTTATAATCGAATAGCCATTTGTCAACAGCTGTAAAAAATAATGAATAAACAGTTGCCATCATCAAATTATATTTGATGAATGCTATCTGCAATTTCTCTTCATTAAGGAAAAGATAGTAAACTAAACATCGATACACTAAATGCAAGAGCAGATTACAATTGAAATTCGGTGCACTTGCTGACCTGACTAATATCTGTTATGTTTGGAGTCATCTTTGCCCAGACAGGTACAGTTGCTTTTTCATTTATCCATCCACATACCTCCTCCAGAAGTGTACAGTCTTGCCCCACTGCAGCACCCATCTTCCGCTCTGGCATCCCATGAGGACAAGAAAAATTGATTTCAAGGGCATCCTGATTAATAGAAGGATTAACAAGTTAAATTGGTTCATTCTAGATATTCAAACATTCGACAGAAAAGGGAAAAGAAGAAAATTACCACTCCAGTTGCTTCCACTCGCTCAATAAGTTCTTGCCAAGCATCTTTATTATATTCCTCCATAATTGAAGCAATAAGGACTCTATCAGGATACTCTTCTTTTAGTTGCTTGAACTCATTTAACATAGTTTCAAGAGGCCGATCGCTGATAAGTTCAATATTCTCCCATCCAATAATTGGTCCCTTTACTGACCCATTTGATCCTGCCCGAAGCCGAGCATAACGAGGAGTCACATTCACTACTTTCGCAGCATCCAAGGATACCTGGCACGGAAAACACATCAATTTACTATAAAAAAAATGGAAATCACTAAGAAAATTCCAACATTTTGTTTCCAAATTGAAGAATAATACTAATATTAACAAGGAAAAAAATGTCAACAATGTGAGTAAATGGCTCAAAGAAACTGTAAAATTAACTGAATATTTCTTATTAGGATAATGGAATTGAAGAAATTCAAAATTAATTAGAAAATTTTCATCATAGTTAGAAAGTTTAAGATTCTAGAAGTGGCACTGGTTATTGGTGTCAAGGTTTTAAAAACAACCTAAACTAGCCAGTTTGGACTGTTATCAGTTCGAAGTCAACCCCAATGCAGACCACTGCTTATGCCTTGTTTGGTCCAGAATGGAGTATTCCACCCAGTCACTGTACGGTGCTTACCAGATGATAAACATCTCAGTGCTGAACAGTTACCATAAAATTCCATGACAAAATATCTATACCAGATGATGAGCTTTTGAATTGTGTTTTTGTCATAAAGGATTGCAACTTGCTGGTAAGCCATATTGGCTTGACATAACTGGAATATATAGCGAAATAAAGGGGGGAGCGAGAGAGAGAGAGAGAGAGAGAGAGAGAGAGAGAGAGAGAAGTAAACAAAAGAAAAGAGAGGATAACCAAGCTTAAGACACATTGGAGAAAATGGAAGTTGCTTTTGTGTTCCCTTCTGTCTTTCCTCTTTTCAGAAGTAGATGCAATCACTTTTTTTTCTTTTTGAAAGATGATGTCATCACCCACAATGCCATGCTACTATACGTATTAGATGGAAAGACATTGCAGGCATATGTATAGTATCAAACCTAGAATTTGAGGTAAAATGTCCCTTCTTATCTTGTAATCTTGATATATAATACAAAACTAAAACAATATTTTTGTTATCAAAGTCGTGGTATTTGTCCAACAAAATAAACCAGTATATCTCCATCTTCAATTCCTGATCTACTACTTCATTTACGTTTGCTCTATATCAGGTTCCAGCTGCACAAATGTGTCAGCCATGCACTCCAAGATCAGATCCCACATGCAAACTTACACATATACAGAATCCTCTTGTGATACCACCATCTTCTACAGGCAGAACTAGGATGTGTCCAAAATGCATAATAAAGTCAACCAGCACAGAATAGCTTACATCATCTTGCTATTTAGCTTCCTTTCCCGTTTCTCTTCGCTTTTGTTTCATTGACGACAGCAAACGTACAGTACGCTCAAATGCCGCCTTCTTTGAAGATCTAAGAAGTGTACTAATAAAAAACAAAGATGCTCGAACTAGAAATTGATTGATCAAGATAATCCCAATTAGTTGGATGGATCATTCAACTTCCAACGAATCATAACGATCATCAAAGATTAGTACAAGAATATTACTTTTCTCTAATCTATTTATATATAAAAAAAAGAATCTGTATCCTGAAACAGATAATATAATTAAGATTCAGATTTAGAAATCTAATATCAGGATCAAATTCGATGCCAAATATAACCCAAAAACAAAAGGAACCATATAAAAAGGAGATCTTTTTAAGGAAGAAAAAGGTCAAGAACTCGGCTTTGCGACGCAGAGTAAAAAAGCAAAAGAACCGGATCGCACCGTTTTGGCTATGACGGCCCCCCACCCCTCATCGAAGGCCCTCTTCATGACGGTGTAGTTGGTCCCAGGCGGCCCGGACCCGATCACGAAGGGATTAGGCATCTCCACACCATTTACACGAACTCGAAGGTCCGGCTCGCCCGCGGCGCCATCACCCCCTCCCGCCGCGGTGATCCGAACTCGGCGGAGCCGGAGATCTGGCCGAGCAGCCGCCCTCCTCGGCCCCAGCGACAAGCTGCTCCCCGCCGGCCCCCTTAAAGACAAAGTCGCCATTTTGGATCTGCAAGAACAGGAAACCGATTGCAAAGACGAAGCGAGACGAAGAGCTCGGACTTTTGTATTGCAAACGAGAACAATCCTCTCCAAATATTCTTTTAAATGAAAATCTTCAACTTCAACATCGAAACCGTCAATAGCTACACCAACCGTTCATAATTGATCGGCGAAAAATCAAATTCTTAATAGACCACGGAGAATAGTTGGAGCCGATCCTAACTCGTGATTCAGCATTCAATTCTTTACTCATTCAATCAAAGATAAATTCGCTGGCAGAGCTTTGTGTGTGGGAGACGGAATCCATATCTGTATATTCATTCATTTATTTCTTTCCAATTATTAAAGTGCAAAGATTCTGTTCACCATTATTCTTCCTCCAGCTTTCGTAACTCATTATAATATAAAAAATCATATTATAATCATACATATCGTAGAGATATAAAGAGATAATCTATCGTGCCACATGTAAGCAAATGGTATGCACACCTGTAGACAAAATAAATCATTACTATCTAATTAATATAAAATATGAATATAATTAAGAGAAGTGTCGCTGTCCGTGACAGGTGTCAGTAAGACACTAGTTGATGTTGCATGCTCTAATGGAACTTCGTATTATATATATATATATATATATATATATATATATATAGAGAGAGAGAGAGAGAGAGAGAGAGAGAGAAGATTCATAGCCCATGGAAGCCCACAAAGGAAAGCCTAGAAAGAAGAACAGGGACTTTAACACCATAATTACCTCAAATTGGTCTGAGTATATTCTCAAAAACCATGATTAAGTTACAAGCTGCAATATGCTTGGCTCTTGTAAGTATTCATGTTATGTTAGATTGTGAAGTCTCTATACATCCGTCTTAATATTTTTATCTTAACTTTATAAGCATATGATGCGCCTAAAAATAATTTTATATATTTTTAAAAGTATAAAAAATATTTGATGATCATATAAAACTCCTAATACCTCGTTAATTTAATAAAATAATGTTAAAATTCACAAATAATATCTTTATTAGTCGGTCCTAAAAATATTTTATCAAACAAAATTTAACATATACGTATTTCCGGGCTTGTTATCTTCTCCTTTTATTGTTACTCTCTTTAGCTAATGCAACCAATTTGTCTAATGGGTTGACCCAATCAATGAAAGAAAGAAATATACATACGTTTTTATATAACTATATACTTCCTTTTCTAATCAAAATTTATATCCATCTAACATAAGGTTAATTATAATCAATAATGCTACTGTCAAATGAGATTCAACACACTCTTAACCTTCATTTCCAGTAGGAATGGCCTTTCAAACTTCCATCTTTATATTAGGAATGGCAATGGTGGCTCATTTTCCGTGACTGCTCATCCAAGGAGAGACTTGAACACTTAGTGGCCATAGAAGCCACTAAGCCAATACAAAGCCATCTCAAAAAGAACATTTTGATGATTGCTGCTATAATGATAACTAAATCTTGCAATGGCATCATATGCTATGAAAAATGATATACATCCAGTTTTTTCTAGTTGCAATATTTTCTATATTTTATTCAATAGAATGGTATCACTGCTAAGTGAACTTACAACGTAAGAGGCATGTCATGCCCTGTCGAAGCTAATGCTTCATAGTTATCTGAAGATGAAAAAGCTCTTGACATTGACGATTGTAAGTTATCTTTTGCATAGATTACCTCATCTGACATTGACATCAGTTCATATCTAAAACCATATTTTCTTGGAGCATGTCCATTCACTTAAAGACATGTTAATTTCTAGGCATCTATTGATCATCTTAATATATATCTTGCAACCAATTGTTAGAGTTTCTAGCTAGCTAATTGTGCTAAAAATTAGAAGATTCTATACTTTAGTAGCTCTCTCACTGTATCATCCAAGGGACCACATCATCCGGGAAAAAAAGGCATTATTAGTATAAGAAATGTTGTGTAAGAAAACACTAAGAATTAGGTCAAACCACGTAATCTAAAACAGCAGCTATCAGAATATTAAGATTGAGACAAAGATAGGGCATAGCACTAACACAGTCTTTGTTTAGATAAAGTGGCTTATGTAGATGCACAACTTGCATGAGATGGTGACAGCATAAGGCTGCACTAGAATACAATACAAGGCAAGAAATGACCTCCAAGATATGTGTGAAATAATCTTTATGAGTTTGGTTTCACTTGAGTAAAATACTATGATATGCCTTGAAAATGTTACTTTAAGATGCATTGTTTTATAGCTTATTTAGGTCAAGTTTAGGTCTGCTTTTGATTTTATTAAGCTAATTCATTTCAGATAACACTGCACCAACCATTACAACTTAGCTTGACCAGTCAAAAGGGAATGTTCTTGAGGGATGATCACTAACTGCGACTGCACTGTGGAAAGGGACAGATCAAAGAAGCAACCCCATTTGACTCTTGAAGAGACATGCCAATATCTCATCCCTGGGAATACATGAGAATTAAAATAACTTTAATGGTATATATGAGTCAACTGGATTGAGGTGCAGCTCTCCCAGTCATTTCAAGTGTTTCAATGCATACTGATCTCATATGGATCAGTCCTTATCAAATTATCCTCTTCCTTTTCTTTCTCCTTTTTCCTCCGGAGACAAACTCAGTGGTTTCAGTGAGCTCATGGTTTGCAGATTTTAGTGGCTTTCAGCAGCTGCAGACTTTTATATCGGCATATAAGCCACCGAATGGGGTAAAGCTTCAAGTGCAGAAACCGAACATGGGCGATCACCATGAAAAGGCCGATAGGTGCATGAGTCATGAACACCAGGAAAAAGGCCACTTTTCTACCTGTGAAAGAGATGTTCAACTGCAATGCAAATGGCTGCTCCTCTTGTTGACCTCCCAAGTATGGAAGCTACACTTCTGTCCAAACCAAGAAATATTTATTGAAGTGATGGATCATCTCATCTGCCTCTGCCTTTACAGAAGAGATGGCCAAGACGTGCTTGGGATGCAGTTGTACAGTGGGGTATCACTTCTTTAGCCAGAGTGGGTGTCTTGTAATCAATGTGTGCACTACGTAAAATACCAAGTTGGAGTCCAAAGTAGTATCTCCAACGTCTCATCTACTTCTACTTTTTCTTGTTACATATATCACTTCTCATAAGTTCACATCTTATGGACTCTTAGCCTTAAGTTCCTTAAAGAAGGGAAACATGGTCGGAGAAAACTTTGAGAGAGAGAGAGAGAGAAGAAAATAGAAATGGATGGCTTGCTGCGTTTCAGTTCATAGCTTTCGCTTGTTGCATTGAATCGATTGGCAGTATCATCTAAACGTTGATATGCTCACCGACAAGAGAATGCTTGATCAAATGGGTAACTTGAAGGCTCAATCGATTCAAGACTAGATAATAAATCTTATATATTTCTCCATGTTTTTTAAGCATGAATTTATTACGTTCTCTTTAAATATAAAATTTGAATGTAAAATACAATCTTTATCTCCATGGCCATCTATGAACAGAAAGAAATGTAAATTCCAATGGAAGAAAGGGGACTTTTGTTGCCCTAAATTAAAAGTGGAGTCATAAAAAAATCACTTTCAATTTAAAATTTTTTTTGACTAATCAATATTTGCAAACCATGTTGAGTTAATTTGATCGAGCAAGTCGCAAGTTAGATTAGCAAGTTTTCAGGATCATTTTCTCTTTCCATGCAATATAAATTTGGCACTTTTGCTACTTTGGCTATATATATATATATATATATATATATATATATATATAGTATAAACTCCTCCTCCTATGTTGGGGTTTGGGGATAGGTGTTGAGATTCCCATTAGCCCCATGTAATATGATGAGAATGAGACGTGATTGTCGAATGTCCTTCTCAATATAAGTTAGATAGTAGTCACAAGTTAAGCATAGTTTGATACTCTATTACAAGGTATAGTAAGGACTACATATAGCCTCGAAAGTAGAAGAGGAAAAAGGAGGCAATGGTTGGATGAGACAGTACGTGAGAGAAAAGAATGGAGAACACTGAAACGTAGTCTACAAGTTCAAGATACGACATCTCTTATTATAGTTCGCCTGTAAGCAAACTCGGATCACACTTGTGATAGAATATTTCACTTGAAGCTCTAAGGAATCAACTCCTGACGTGGAAATGATGCGTCTTTTGTACCAGTGACTTCTTGTTTAATACTCCATTTGTGTGCCATTACAGCTAAATATGCAAACCCTTGTTTAGACATGTCCTTAATGACATTGAGCTCATCTCCACTAAGATCCCATTACAGGCTCGTAGTGTAGTTGTTTCCCACCTGACCTAATGAGATCCACTAACGCCCTCTTTCTCTTTCTCTCTCTTGGTGGCACTCATAAGGTCTTTCTGTAGTGAGGATTGGAGTTCATTAGTCTATACTGAGGGGTCGCATGCAATAAGAAGTATTAACTATGTAATCTACTCACGATAGCTCATTACTTGTGCTGGTCCGTATGCCACCGATCAATAATATATGGAAGGAAGTATCCTCCATCGCTCAAATGGAGTCTCTCTGATCACATATTAAGTTAGAAGAAACAGCGGGTGGGTTTGGTTTGCCATTTGGACATGAAAATGGAATTAGAATTAAAGAATATGACATGTGGAAACAGTGGGTGAATCGATGGTTAGACGTTATACATAATTATTCCCGACATTAACTATAATCTCAACCAATGATCATCGTATATCGTACTACAAAAGGCTCTAGATATTTTAATTAATTATTGATAGATAATAATTATGGTTAAAATACTACATGCGTTTCCTAGACATGGGATGTTAGGACACTAAGATTATCAAGTCGAATAAAAAATAAAAAAAAATATTTAACCTATGAGTGCTATATGAAAAGACTTCAGAAATTGTGGGGTATAATGATCTTTTTTCGTGAAGTTAATGACCTACTTAGTTTTTTTTTTATACGTGATTATGAGCTTCTCATACCGTACATGTGAGATATGCAATTAATGCACCGTATAAATGGTCTAAGGACAGTAGAAAACGATATTGTGAACAATGAAATATATGTGATTGTGATAATGGCCGGTTTGAAAATTTAACCGTTGCTCCATAATTATGGGTTCATTGAAGAAAGAACCAAAAATATCAAGCAATTGATCCTATGCAAACAAAAGCATCATTGTCAACGAAACCCAACTTTTCAACTTGTGGACACCACAATTTAGTGAGAGAAAGATCAATTAACTTATAGGGCAACACAAACTTAGTGTACTCTTAATCCATCCTTTCTTCATCGTTGCATAAGAAAGCAGTAAAATCAAGATGAATTTTCTTTATCATGTATAACAATGTTAAAGTAGATGATAAGATTACATGACTAGAGATGAAGGGAAAATGATCCTTGTATCCAATCAATACATCCATTATATATGGTGGTGCTGTTGTCACTATTGATAGACATGGCACAACAAATTTTGTCTGAATTCACGACATTGACAAATATCAAAATCTGGAATTCATAATAACTATCGGGCGATTTAAAAAAAAAAACTCTTTAATTTTGAATATTTTATTTTTATTTTTTTTATGTAGAGTGCTCCAAATTTAAAAAAATAATTTAGAACACTCCCTTTTTAGAAATGATCAATTTACTTTTGTCAACCACGGTCACACCCTTTTGCCCTACGTTTAACAACCTTGTTCGCTAGCCTTTGTCATCTCGTCGTTGCCCTCACGTGATGTTTCATCATTACATGTAACCCTTACACTAGGGTCTATTGTTACCTCAACCCTCGAGTGAGGGCCTACCAAAGCCACATCCCCTCCTTACACTTTCCTTGGCCCTTGTCATCCCATCATTGCTTGCAACCCTTATGTAAAACCTCATTATCACCTCCGGCCCTCACGCGAACGCTAATCACCTTTCTCTATCAAGCACAAGATTGCCCCCTTTCTTATAGCCCTCGTGTGAGGCCTAAGCACCACCCGCATAGGTTTCCTGACTAACTCTTAGTGAGCATTATTACTGTAGTCGATGGTCAGTGGGTCGAGTGATTTGATGTAGACAAAGGTGTAACTAGAGCTCGCTATAGCAAAAGAAATATGCATAATTTTTTTAATATTATAAGGATAAAAAAGTCTCACGTGAAAATATTTCAAACGTTTTATGAGAAAAACTCAAAGTTCGTTTTTTCAGAAATTCACCAATAAATATTAAGTTAACAACTAAAATTAATGATTCACACGGTTTATTCATTAAAAACACACTTCGAGATGGATATATATATATATATATATATATATATATATATATATATATATATATATATATATATATATATATATATATATATATATATATATATATATATATATATATATATATATATATATATAT